ATTTCCATTGGTGGTCCCTGAGCCTGTAGCAACTGAATGGCAATCTTTGTAATTAAAATGGCCGTTTGCTAAACACTGTTACCACAGTGTACTGGTGACATCCTTTGAATTTGTGTATTAATCACGGCTCCAACCGTGATCACTACAAGCACCCACCAGTATTTACAACAGAAATACGATAAGGAGTGCAGCAAGATACATCTATTTTCCCCATCAATGTGATGACGCTCTTTCAGCAAGGTGGGGGTAGGTCCTTGACTAAGTACTTCTCAACTGATTCGTAGGTGAGGGACATGACTATGATGTCTGAAAGGTGTGCATGAATTCCAAGGTTGACTGGACAGATTTTAGTAGGTAGGACAGATTATCTAGATCTATAGACACAAACACAGATTTTAAATGCTGTGCCCGTTAGGGAAATTCCTTTCCCGACAGAGTGCATCTTCTAACATTCCTTCACCCTGTCAGGAATATTTTTATTGCTGTCACCATTTGGAAGATTTACTGCGACTTCCTGGTTTTGTCTGACATTCCTTAAATACATTGGGTGAGAGGGGCAATTACAAAGTATTGACAGAGAAAGCAATAAGATTCTAACCCCCTCAGTTTTAATTGGAATTTGGTTTTATAATCAGGTATAAAAACTGGCAACATTTTTTACATAAGGACTATTCCCAGAATAAAAGTTAACATAAAATCTTTAAAAAAAACAAAAAAACTGTGCAGCACCCTTATGACATCACAGAACAAACCTTAACCTTAAAGTGCAATGGTGGCCAGGGTATGGACATTTAAATATTATAATACATCTAAACAAATAAATTAACTGTAAAATAAGCTTTTATTGACCTGTGTAGCTGCAGGCACTGTGGAGCAATTCATCTTCAAATCTCAAAAGAGAAGCAGTGAAGTCCTCTAAGTCAGGTCTTCACACTCTGCTCCCCTTCCATCTCTGTACCTGCTCTGTGTTTACATTAAAGAACAGAAGCAAATCCTGAAAGAGGGGTAAACTGAGCTGCAGAGAAAAGCTTCTGATGTAAACTGAGGATGATTTGCTACACAGTACTTCTAGCCACAAAGGTCGGTGAGGGGAAAGCATCTTTACTGCTTAAGAATTAATAAAATGTTTAAATGTCTATAGCCTGGCCACATTTCTACTTGCAAGGGTACCTGTTGTGGAATAAATATGAAAAAATAATAATATTACCTACATTTTTATGGGTCAGATATGCACTAAGCAGGATAACAATGACAAGCCCAGAAATTACAAATACACTTCTCCCTAGAGCATTTATACAAGGACTCAGTTGGCAATGCAGAATGGCATACTTAAAGAAAATTTGTCATCTCCTTCATATTCCATAAATATGTCACTGATTAGGAATTTGTCCTTCTTCTCTGGCATCTACAAAGAAAGCACGGGTAAAAGTTTAAACATTAGCTAGATTCTTTAACTCCATTGCACAACCCACACATATATCATTAATGCATATTGATATTACGTATAGCCAAAAATAAGATTTGTAAAATCATTTATTTGGAATCCATTGAGGGACACAGGAAGTCTTAACTCTTCAAGAGGACCTTATGCACAAAGCTGACATCAAGTAAGGTCAAAACATCTCCCTAACTTGGAGAACGTGTGAACAGAAGAACCAGAAGGCAACCTTGCGGATCTGGGAAACAGTTGCTTGATGCTGAAGAGTCTACATAGTACTCACAGATATAGAGAGTACACGTTGATTGAAAAGGGTGGAACCCGATCCTTGAAACCATAAGCTTTGCTGATGGTGTGCCTGAGCCACCAAGAAATGGTAGCATGAGAAGCCAAAATACAATTAAATAGGCCCATTAGAGATTACAAAAAGGAAATCCGTGACAGAGACAGAATCTCAGCCTAAACCACTCAATGGAGAGAAATTTCCTTTTGGTAAACTTGGTCCAGACAAAGGGTTGGAAGATCAGGCAGAAAGCTAGCTTAGGCAAGAAGTCCTAGGTCTCAACACCACCTTGTCCCTATGCAAAACCAAAAGGTTCCTTACAGTGTAAAGTTGTCAGTTCAGACACTCGCCAAGCAGTGGTGTACATGGTGGACAAGGGTGGAATGTGATGTCCTACCTAGGAAAGGATCTGATCTCTCTGTTTTGCTGCAGAGACTTCTGGCCCCTTCCTGATGGTTGATGTACACCACTACCATTGCGTTGTCTGACTGAATCCAGCAGAATGGTCAAACTATACAGAGACAGAGAAATTGAACAAAGTTTCAGGATATTCATCTGGAAACATGACACCTCCAATGACCAAGTCACCTACACCGACAGGATGTCCAGGACAGCTCCCGCATTTGACAGGCTGGAATCCATCATATGGCTCTTCCAGAAGACAGGATGGAAGGACTTCCCCTTATTCCAGAGCTGGATTCTTGAGTCACCAGGCCAAGGACAACCTGGTCTTCAGTGCTAAATGAATCAGTCTTTCCAGTGACTGGATTGACTTGTCTCAGAATGTTGTGTTGTAGATATCTAAAGTGAAACTGGGCAAAAGGGACTGCCTCGAAGTTGGATACCATCAGGCCCATGACCCATCAAAAAAGCAGTTAACCAACTTCTGCACTGGAGAACTTGAATCAGATATTGGAGAGTCTGAAGTTTTCCCTGTGGAAGGGACATTCTGGCCTAAACTGTCCAGGGCCAGACACAGATGCACCAAACAATTAGTTCCACTGCCAAATTCTGAAGGTTCACTGTAATGTCTCGACAGTCAAGGCAACATTGTCTGACAGAACCTGCACCGACTGTGCTACCATGAAGTTGTCTAAGTATCCTACAATTGAGATGTCATGAGATCGCAGTAGGTGCAGACAAGAGGTCAGAGTGCAGGGCCATAAGCTGGTAATGTAGGAACCCCAAAGCAAAGCTTAGTAAATGCTGGTGCAATGCAAAAATAGGGACATGTAATTATGACCTTCTTGCGTTCACAGAAACTAGAACGTCTCCCTGGTACAGAGAGAGGATGACAGGTTGGAATAAAGTCCTTTAACCAATTCTACTATAGGTGCTGGGGCAATGACATCTTGGGCCAGCAGACCCAAGAGGGCTCATTAGAGTTCTGCTAATCTGTGCAGTGACATAGGAATTTTGCAGGTAAGAAACTGAGGGGGGGTGTGGGGGTCAGGGAAACTCCAGTATGTGGCCCTGGGATACCACCTCCTCCACCCAAGCATCTGAGATGCCCACTGACCAAGTGTGCGTCCCACACTCTGCAGAGTAAGAGTGCACCTTCATGCTGAGGAAAGCTTGTCCAAGGATTTGGCTGACTTTGAGCCGCAAGTGGAGTGGAAGCCAAGCTTTGGAGGGTCTCAAACTGGAAGAAATAAAAAGAGATGTTTCTTAACAGATAGAGGGTGAACACTTTGCAGTCTGTTCCTTGGGCGCTCTTGCCACCAGTAGCATCTTTGATAATGGTTTAAAAAGTAGATGGGAAGAGACATCCTTCAAAGGCCATACTGATCAGAAGCTGCTTGGATGCGGGTTCTGCAGTCCAGAACTTTAACCAAATGACCTACACATGTGCACTGACAGAAGACCCATGTGAAAGATAAGTCCGGAAGCCTCCAGCAAACTGTCAGAGCAAGTTTAAAGCTAGTCATTTGCTCCATGTGTTCTATAAGCAAGGGATCAACTACAGCAGTGGTAAGATCTCCTAAAAGATGGGTTGCAACAGTAATCATGGCCAGCATAGCAAGAACTTGGTTCTTGAGAAGGCTTCCAACAGCTTATCGGTTGGTCAATTAAAGACAGGTGCAACCTCATCTGTTATGGTATTCTCTTTGTTAAGGGGGGACACTGCAAGATCTACAGTGGGGATAGACCAATTATTTGCAAAATCCTCCGAAAAGAGTACAAGGTAATAAGCGATTTGGAGGAGCAAAGCTAGTCAAGGCGTTTCCAATTTCTGTAGAGAAAGAGTTGGAACAGCAAGTGTAATGGGAAAGACTTGGGAGCCTAAAGCTGGCCATACACCTATAGATTATCTGCAGATTTTCTATGATCAGATGAAAAAAGTGCAACAGATTCCTCCATCTACACTAAACTGTGTGGATGGAGGAATCTCCCACTGGTCCAAGCTTCAGTATTTTCTTAGTCGGCGTCGCTGGCTCTCAAAATACCTAAACAATCTGATTGGATGCAGGCATTGTTTAGGTATTTTGAGAGCCAGCCAGGACGGCTAGCAAGATAATGAGAAGCTTGGGCCAGTGGGAAATTCCTCCATCCACACAGTTTAGCGTATCGTTAATTAAAATGAACATAGTGTATGCATTCTCAATCGAAATGAACAAAAACACAGAGCTGTAACATGGACAAAGTCAGCACCCCCCTAACACATGATACCACTTCAAATTAGAATCAGGTGTTCCAGATAAGGTGCCAGTGATTGCAACCTCCTTAAGAAGTATGCAGGTAAAGCCTGTGTGTGTGTTTTTTTTTTTAAATATACAATAAGCTGGCCATGAATTGCTCAAAATTCAAGCACACCAGCACTTACACCGCAAAGAGGAGGAGTAGTGTCCCAGGTTTCCATGAGGACCTGAGGTGGTTAGGAGGCAAAATAAAAGATAAGTGTCATCAGGCTCTGAGCGCTTCATGGTGATGAAATGCATAGGACAGAGATTGATGTCACATGCAGGTGCACAAACCTGGATGTAGTGCTGAGAGTTACCTGATGAGACGAGAGAGGATGGCAAGGAGCTAGTAGTGGATATGCCCAACATTTTCGGATTGTAAGCTCTCACGGGCAGGGCCCTCCTTACCATCTTGTCCTGATTTGTATAGTAACTGTAATGTCCTCCTTATATTGTACAGCACTGCACAAACTGTTGGAGCCATATAAATCCTGTATAATAATAATTTTCAAATTGTATTAAAAAAAAAAAATACTTAATTCTACTTACGTCCTTTGCATCCTGGGAAAATGGTTCTTTTAGCTTGCCTTCGAACACTGGTAGAAGCTCCGTGTACATATAAGTCACAATTTCTAAAGCAAGTAAAAGTAGAGCTTTAGGTTGGATTTAAATGGCTAGAAAAACACAATTTTATTTGGGTGAAATGATATTACACTCCAAAAAGGGCGATTTGCAACTGCCAGTTACAAGTGCTGACACAAAGATATGTCCTTTGCAGACAAAGGGTTAAAATAGAATGTTAAGTTTTTGTTTTATTTGATTTCAGATATACATATAAAATGTTAGCTTAACCACTTGAGTTCCAGAGCCTTTTCCATCCTATAACCCCCTTGAGCCCCAGAGAATTTGCATTACTATAATTCCCTTGAGTCCCAAAGCCTTTCCTTCTTGGAACTCCACCGTCCCCATAGCAATTTCCTTCTTGTAACTCCATCGAGTCCCAGAGCATTTACTTTCCTACAAGGCTGCAGTACTTTGACAGAGGGAGGAGACACGGGGCCCCCGGAGAGGTGAGAATACTTCCTCATCTTTTTCAGATACTTTAATCTGAACATTTTCTTTTTTTGTAAGCTGAAAGAGTTGCTTTAAAAGAGGTGAGCGGTTTCAATGAAATACAGAAAGCCACTAGCGGAAGAACCTACAAATCTGTATATGCAATTATGGAAACAGTACAGAAACCGCAAAACAAAAACATCAAAGTCAAGGCAAATGTTAACACATTCGTCAAAATGTTATTTTCATTTAAAATACAACGTACCTTTAAAACTCAGCTTTTGCCAGTCAGGAACATGCCGAGACTTTAGCTTATAAACCTTTTGCTGCAAGGTCCCAGTAGGAACATTTCTGAAAAATGTATAAAGACATATGTGTAGGTAGGTAAACTTGTCAATACCTTAAAGCAGAACTAAAGTCGCCTACGCTCACCTGACCTCCAGCAACGCGACATACGAGAGCTCCAGTGCCAGTATCTTTTGTCTGGTCCCTGGCCTGGGATGACGTAATGCCCACGCATGTGCACAGAAGTTAACTCATCCCAGCATAAAGGCATGCCAAGAAGCTTGTGAGCAGGAAGGCAAGAAGAGTTTATTGAAGATGATACATAATATGATTCCTCTGCAATAAAATGCTTTCCTGCTTGCAAGCTTGCTAAAAACACAATATTGCAGATTCAGACTTTCAAGAGGGCATCTATAAATATATATAAACAGACACCTGATCAGCTCAGAATTGTATTTTAGGTTTCATTTAAAGGAAACTTTCCTGAAAGAAACATAAAAGCTGCCACTGCAAACATCCTGTGCTGCGAATGCTAGTTGCCTGGCTATCATGCTGCCCCCACTGCCTTCAATACACACAGAATAAGTAAAAGATAAGAAACTCTGTCTTTATTCTGACTCTCCTGTTCTCTGCATACTTGTTCCACACCAGTAACTCAGAAACTAATGAAACCAGAGGGTCAGTATAACAGCCAGTCCACAGCAAAGGTGGATTCATCCGAGAGTATTTTACAGTCTACCTAGCAAACCTTCTAAATACAGTGTGGGAAGTTGATGATTTTCTTGCCCTGCCTCACAATATCATACTTGCTCATAAGATGAAGTTATGCTTTTAAAAGTCTTCCACTACACAGATTACACAACTAGAAATCACTTACCCAATGGCTTTGGCCATTTCCACCCAATTCACCTGTGCTTTTTGTGGTTTGGCTTCATACAACCTATAAATAAGTAAAAAAAACGAATGCAATAGTGTAGATTTAGCCTAACTCCTCAAAATCCAAGTCAAATCCTAGATGCATTAACTTTGTCAATACATTTCATGCAGATATGTGTACTTGCCCTTTAAAAGTACATTTATTTCAGTAAGGAAGTGTCATTGCTGGCCTCCTGAGATAGCTTGTTGCCTGGCAGTGTCATTCAGAAGGCATAGGACCTCCATCAGTGTAACTCAAAAGGTGCAATACAGTGCAGTAGCCCACAGGCAGCAATCAATTCATCTTTCAATGATCAGACATTGGTTTTCTAAGGGTTAGTTTACTTTACATTGCCTAACAAAACCAAATTGGCCACAGATAGAAAGATACTCAAAGGTTCCTATCATTCTAAACTAATACAAAAAAATGTAATTAGGCGGCCTAAGGCTACATATTCTATTCACCTACAGCAATCAAAGATTCAGAATAAGTGCATAGGATCACTGCACAGTACATTTAAACAGACTGTCACTGTAGGGAAAGGGGTCCAACTGCTGCAGGTAAGAAATTAGGGCACTAAGGTGCACATACCTGAAGCAGTCTTCCAGCAGGTATTTGTGGGACTATGCAAGGGGAATAAAAAGTTGCACTTTTTGTTTTACTATTGTGAGGACACTTGAAGTTGTGGATGCCATTCTGGCAGGTAAAGCTTCACCACTTCCTGATAGAAATAGGAAGGGGAAGGTTGGCACTATTAGCCAGTCTGGCTGCCCATAACAATGATAGGCCAATAGGAATGTGTGGGGGTTGAGCTTAGGAGCAAGCTCCTACACTATCTAGAATTGTTGAAGCTTTTCCAGTCAGGACAGGCTAGGCTTCGCCCACAACAAGAATGCTTGGGAGACTGCAGCTAGTATATATACCTCTAGGTCCCCCCTCCCCCCCATGACTATTTAAAAGTCACAAATCATAGAAGATGTTTAAAAAAGCATTAAGAACAGATACAGCCCGAGCAAAAGAACATCAGACCCCTAGTAATACTTACCATTTGATAATTTCTATATTGGTCTGTAAGCCCAAAGCTCCCTCACAAGGACTAAAACCATTATTCATCCGCAATAGCAGAATATCATTCCTGCATTTAAAACAAAAGAAGAGAACATTTTCCATGTAGATGTTATTTTAAGTCCACAGAGTATTAAGAACAATGGGAATCCTCCCAACATGAAATGTTGCCTTTTAAAACAATCAGAATGCAGTGGCGTGAACTAGATCAGATCAGATAGGCTGATGTACCGACTTTTAAAAGAGATCAGCTTACAGCAAATCTTATCAGAATTGGTTAAAGGTCTTAAAAATGTGGTTTCTACATATAGTTTGTAATTCTACATGTACGTGGAGGAGGCCGTATTTTCTCACTGCATATGCAGGTACTGCTTCCTGTTTTGTAATGCTGCTGTAACTGCTTTTCCCTGCCTTGTCTGGATGTTTGCAGCCACAAGCAAGGAAATACCTTGTGTAAGCTCCCAGTTGACCATACGTGGACCATAAACAGGGCTTAGGACACTCTCCCGGCCCCGCATGCAACAGTGCCGGTACCTGAATGGCCAACTGCCAAGCACCAGCAACGTCATGTGGGAGGAAGGAAAGCGAGTCACATGCTCACCATTACCATCATACTACTACCAGGTATTTGTCTTTCCTCCTGGGGAGGTGACAGGAAGGAGAGAAGCAGCTACTGAAAGGTCCAGTATTAAAGTGAACCTGGTGCCCTGCATGGGCAAGATCTGCCACATTAAAGTAAACCTGATGTAGTTCCGAGCATCAGGCAAGCGAGAGCGGGGGTCGTGGAGCGGTGACGGCCGGGGGCGTGGAGCGGTGACGGCCGGGGGCGTGGAGCGGTGACGGCCGGGGGCGTGGAGCGGTGACGGCCGGGGGCGTGGAGCGGTGACGGCCGGGGGCGTGGAGCGGTGACGGCCGGGGGCGTGGAGCGGTGACGGCCGGGGGCGTGGAGCGGTGACGGCCGGGGGCGTGGAGCGGTGACGGCCGGGGGCGTGGAGCGGTGACGGCCGGGGGCGTGGAGCGGTGACGGCCGGGGGCGTGGAGCGGTGACGGCCGGGGGCGTGGAGCGGTGACGGCCGGGGGCGTGGAGCGGTGACGGCCGGGGGCGTGGAGCGGTGACGGCCGGGGGCGTGGAGCGGTGACGGCCGGGGGCGTGGAGCGGTGACGGCCGGGGGCGTGGAGCGGTGACGGCCGGGGGCGTGGAGCGGTGACGGCCGGGGGCGTGGAGCGGTGACGGCCGGGGGCGTGGAGCGGTGACGGCCGGGGGCGTGGAGCGGTGACGGCCGGGGAAGGCGGGGTTGGTGGCTGGAGCGCTAAGAGCAGGGGGCGTGGATCGGTGACAGACCAGGGAGCGTGGAGCGCTGAGAGCGTGTAGCGGTGACAGAGCTGGACACGTGGCGCTGCGACAGGCTCTGTCACCTCCCTCAGCCTCTGTTCCCGGCCGCTGCTCGTTCTTGTCACAGGAATTCTAGCACAGCGTTGTGCTAGAACTCCTGTGTTGGAGGTGGCAGGGTCAATAAAGAGTACCTGTCACCTCCAAATGCTATCACACACAGGGGTTTGGTATCCCCTGTGTGATAGCAATAAAGATAAGTGAAAAAAATAGTAAAAAAATAATAAAAAGTAAAAAATAATAACTAAATAAAAATTTACCCAAATAAAAATATTTTTTTTTAAAAAGGCAATAAAGTTAAAAAAATTTTTTTATGGAAATTAAACATTTTTAGAAAGTAAATAAAAATTGAAAAAAACGTGCAGTGTTTTCAATCGCGATTGTGTGCAACCGCTCGGGCAGGGAGGTATTGCGGCGGGAAACCACGCAATCTGCCTGGCACGACTGGGGTGCCATTAGAAACTAATGGCACTGGCAGCACGATCCGTGGTGGTGTGCAATCCATGACCGCGCGGTCACGGAATTGCACGGAATTATTTTCTAATGGCACTCCAATCGCGCCAATCAGATCGCAAAGTTTCCCGCCGCAATACCGCATGGGCGGTCCCAGACTATCGCGGTTGAAAACATGAATAGGTTACTTTTTTTATTGTTCTAAAACAGTCTTAAATTCAAGTTCTTCATAATCATAAAGAAATTGGCCTAAAATCATTAGTCTATTGTTTTTTTATTTAAATGTCACCTGCCCCTTTAAGAAAAAGTATCGGTAATTGGTATCGGCAAGTACATGAGGGGAAGTACTTGGTCTTGAAAAAGTGGTATCGGGACATCCCTAATAATAACCTTAGGACACAGGTGGCAGTACCATATCAAATACAACACACTTACCACTTTGATTTGCAGTGAGTCCAGTTCCTTGTCTGCACCTTTTCCGCTATCTGCCGCCAGGGAATTCCAGTGAACAGCATCTCCTTGGGGACTGTATGTGGTTGCTGTTTGAGCATCTTCTTCCTCTTCAGTAAACTCATAATAAACGTTTTTACAGCCTCAAGAAGTCGGTTTACTTCATCGATGTTCCACTTGCCCCCGGTGACCTCTACAAAGAAGAAACATTTTTTCTAAACTATCCTGCAACCCAATCATTTACTCTATAACATATCCATCCATCCGGGTCATCCTGCCCCCATGCTTAAATACACCGTTTCCCAGAGAAGAAACAACACACTGCTATACTCTTAATTTAGAGCCAGTCAAGAGAGCGAATGCCAAGACATTAGTTATCACCGGTAAGAGGAAGATCAGTCTTCAGGCAATGCCGCCAGCAAACTCTACATGCTACCAGAAGTTAGCTTTATTCTATGTCAGGAAGTTGCTTATCATAATGTCCCAATATATAGCAAAAGTATATTGTACCACTTTATGTTAAGTTGTCACACGTGAAGAAATCTGAATTTGTTTGTTGGAAAATTACTTAACCTGCCCCAACAAATATATTTTCTGAAAGCAAAGGCCCTGCAAAAATGGTGGCAGTTGCAATTTATGTTGCACAAAATTTGCACATTTGTTTATCAAATTGAAATTTTAACCCTTTTAGTGACACAGCTTCAGAAAATTGTTCCATTCCTGGGGACCAGAACACTTTTGCCACACGTTTCTTTAACCAAAATTTCCATCTTCCTCATTCATTGCACCTACACATATTAATACAGTTTTTTAACCACTTGATGACTGGAGTGTATAACCCCTTCGTGATGGGAGACGCACACTGTACGTCCCGCCACGAAGTGCCCAAATGACTGCTCACGTACACATGAAGAAATCTGATTTTTTTTTGCTGGAAAATTACCTAATACTTTTTTTTTTACCCTTACTATTAGATAATCGGTCAAGTTTTCATGGCTGTCTCCCTGCTAGATAGCATGTGTCCTGCTGACCATTGTCACTGGGACAGAAAGTGATGGGAAATCCAAACTTTTTACAGTTGTAAACAAAACAAGAGGTGACGGAAATCTTCAAATGGGGACACCTGTTATGCTAACTGTCTAAAAGGGAATTTGTCTCACTCTTGGAGAGATTTACATTCACTTCCTGTTGTATCTCAGACACAAGAAGTGAAATTTCCTAACTGGGACACAAAGCGCCAAACCAAAAGGGGGAAAAAAAAGAATTATACTGAATTATAAAGAATTATATCTGCTCTATCCAAAACGAAAAAATAAAATAAAAACGAAAACCTAAATAAACATCAGTGATGGGGTCTCATACAAACATTGAATGATGATCTCCCCCCCTTTCCCCAATGGGTAAAACACAAATCTCTGGCTATAATCTCGACCTTCGGCAATTTCTTAAAAGCATGTTACCATTTTACCTACACAAATCACACACTAAACTTTTTGTATATATTTGTGAACAGTGCTTACCCAGCTTGATCTGCGAGGCCTTTGACTGAACGGATGCACTGCTTCGGCCAACTAAAGGTGCCACGGTAGTCCATTGATTCCCATGTACTCCCATCAGTTTTTGGAGTTTTTCTACCTCTTGTTTTGTGAAACTGGATGAAAAAAAAAAAAGACAACAATGACTAATACAGGACATCTCTGGGGACCTACACTATCATTCTGATGCTGCATAGTGTAAAGAGTCACCTTTATCAAAAAATCAGAAAAGTTGGGGTTTTTTTAGGCAGCCGAATGACAACTTGCACACCAAGAATTTTTGAAAAAATATATTTTAATTGATTAAAAAGCAAATAGAATTGATAAAATTGACAACATGAGCTCACTCCACATTGATTAAATTCATTCATGTACAGATGACAATCAGAATTCTTGTGCAATTGAACATGATTGAAAAAACATGATTGAAAAGTTCATAAATACATAACATGATTAATATAATGAAAGACGATGGAGGAGCTTGATTGGAGTCTGTGTGCGTCCGAGTCGTTCCCCCTGGCTCAGACCGTGAAAGAGTAAAAGCAAATGGCAGGGTCTTTCACGGTCTGAGCCAGGGGGAAAAAGAGTCACCTTTAATGCTGTCTCTTTACATGAATACATAAACATAGAATTAAAGTGATATTAAAGTCAAAAGGTTTTTAAGTCTCCACAAACACACACAGGCACAGCAAAGCGAGCCTATCCCCAACCCCCCCAAGCTAAATGAAGAGCTGCTGGAGTCTGCACCCTCTTATGATCTTGCACTGGACAGGATGTTAAGGCCTTGTTCACACCAAATGCAGAGCAGATCCGGTCAGGTTTCTGCACACGCAGAATGTGCAATCCTTTTAGATGCGTTTTTGAAGCGTTTTTTAGTTTAACATGGGCTTTCAGTGTGTTCCAGGCATTTGCATGCGTTTTTGATGCGTTTGCAGATCCAGAGCAGGTAAAATGGGGCCTGCTGCAGTTTTTTTTTACCTGCTCTGGATCTGCACGCTGCGATGTGAACTGGAGCTCAAAATACCATAGGAATACATTGGACGCAGTTTTGATCCGGTCTGCACCTGCTCTGCTCTGGATCTGTTCCGCGCTTGGTGTGAACTAGCCCTTAGAGAATGGAGCCAAGAGAGCTGGAGGCAACTGTTTGGAAACATGGATTCATTATTGAGGACAAGTTTGAGAGTTTAATACTACTGTAAAGCAGGACCCCAGGGAAATGCTTAAAAACAGACATGATATTCATATCTGTGAAAATGTTTTACTGGTCAAAGGATTTGCAATTCTGTTTAGAGAGACTGGTGATTCATACATCTCTGCCATACTGCATTTAAAGGGGAATTAGCCTGACATAAGGGAAAGAGTGAACTGAATTGCAGGGGAAGACTTTCTTAGTGAAGATTTCATTGTAACAGCTTTGCCTGTTGGTGAGCAATCGTTACCAACACCGGTCAATTGTGAACCCCAATCTTACTAAAGCTCATGGGTGTCAGGCCCCCTTGCCAAGTTGCTAATTTTTAGGCAGTGACTGCAGCAAACAGCCACTGGGGGAATCAAGAGATTTTTCTCGTTAAGCCTGCACCCCACTTATAAAACTGGGAGCGCACCTTCATACAGAAAGCATGTCAGCAGAGTTAGCAGACATCTAGCTTTGGGCCCTGCGGCTTGAGTGGGAGTTAGGCTGTAAAGGCCTCTGCATTCTTGGGACCATGCTTGTGTCTGGAAAAGTGGAGGGATAAGGAGATGAGAGCTGTCAATCAAGGGTCTGTCTGCTTTCCCGATCGTGGTTGTGAATGAAGAGTGAGCAAGTTGACCAAAATAGGGTGTGATATTTTTATTGAAGTGATACTATTCATTCTCACAGGGTTTGACAGAATAGGTGACATGCTGGTTTAGCACCTAGGATTGTAAGGGTTTTTAACAATTTTTACTGACACTAAACTCAGGAGTTGAATCTTAAAAATAAATTTGAGTACCATATTAACATAAATATATCTTATTTGTGTATCACTCGGTTGTAGATCCTCAGATCATCTCTGAATTGGTGATGACACTGTCCTTCCGGAGGGGGGGCTTCTTTTGTCCCTGTGTGTGTTGTAAAGAAGTGTGCTGTGTGCACCGTGTGTGTGTAAAGTGAGTGG